ATAAGCCCTAGCGTGTTAGACACCTAGCCTGTTAGACATAGCTCTTGTTATGATATATCCAGCCCAAAGGTTATTCACAGATCGTGCCCCAGACCAAACGAATATGTCACAGTCGGTGGAAAACAGGAGGAAGGAAATGGTATACACTCGTCAAGACTAGTGATGTTTATACCTACCTAAATTGCCAGGCAGAGTGCCTATAGCAATTCAGACCTATTGTGATTTCTATTGGTGTACCCACATGGCTTATTCATCTCTGTTCCAACAGGATATGACTGACCAGTAGCATTGGTGAATACCAGGAGAATGGATTCTTATTGATCCGCCACTTAGTCATGATGATGCCCACGTAAGTCAACAGCTAGGGGCAGTACAGCAATTCTGACTTCGTTATTTCCTATTGGTGCACACTAAGATCCATTGGGCAGTATTTCCAACTGGGGATCCTGGCAGAATTCGCCGAACTGCCGTTATCAACACCGTGGCAGAGTCTCCCTGCCATAAAGTAACACAATTTCATGTTTACTGTCCTTCCCTTATTTATCATACGTCTCACACCGTTCCCGTTTTGGAGGAGACGCTATATATAAGACGTTTGCAAGCCTCTTAAGGAGACTGACTTGGCACCTTTCTCCTACCTGACCAACTGCCGTCTACTCTGACTACTAGAATACTGTTGGCAGCTCCTCTCTCTCCCCACCGGCCCTTGCGCTCTAAGACGCATTTGTCGAAGCTAACACCAACTGTTTTCATAGACTCCTGACGAGCATCTTCTGCCTGGTGGAATGACTTATACTCCTTTTAATGCTGATAATCGGTCCACCGTATCGATAGGAATGCAATCGCCTGTATGCTCCCATTAATAGTTGCCTAGACGGTGGATAGATGCTATTAGTATTCTGTCATCTATTCGGTTCCGAAAACATAAATTTCCTCAAACTTACCCCTCATCAACAAAACTTCGACTAGGTAAATTTACATACTGTAGAACACAAGGAACAGATTTAACCGCCTCAGAAGCTTGAGCATCATCGCTCAAAAACTGCATAATACCGACATATCTACGAAACTACTAGCTTCCAATACCTTTAGGTGTTGTATAAAGTAGAAGCATTCCTTCTCTTCATCCAACTTACAATTATATCGTGTTGCACGCATCTTAGCGTAAACTGTACTTATGCCTTTCGGCAAGCCGTAAGACTTCCTTCAGGCGGCCAGTGAAGTAGGGCCAGAGGCGTTCCAAATATATTTGCGTAGCCACTGTAACAAAACTTATGCTGTCTCACTGTAATGGGGTGACTCATTGCAAGGCCGACCCGACCGTAGGTCCACAGGTTTTTGAACATTCAAAGACTGAAACCCAATAATTAACAACAGACAAAGAGCCACGCGTTTGAAAAGAACAAAGTGCGGTGTTGAGGCTTATGAAGAAGTAGTGTCTATAAGGCTAGAGAATCTCTCGAAGAGTGTAGGAGCGTCCACCAGATTCGAGACGAAATTTGCAAGGTTTCAGATTACGCTTCATCCAACTCACTAATTTGTACTTACTGTGCTCAAATAAATATCTTTCCCGCGTTACTATCATTTATTGCTTGATTGAGTATTAAATGAAATCTCCATTTATAAGAATAGATGAACAAGAACATGCGGGAGCTAAAATGTTCATTTCCTAACACTTTTTCGAGTCTAAACCGGGTTTTGTCCAACCAAGTACCGTCATACCTTCCTCAGCCAAGATATATTAGGTGGGCCCGGTGTATATCAATGCGGCCATAGCCACTTCTTCGTTTGTTCCCAGGTTTACATGTCTCTAACAATATGCCGAGAAAACTCTCAAGATGGGCGCGAAAATGGTTCGGCCTTGAGGCCGTACATATCGTTGTTATTCGACGATCGCGCTGTGGAACCCTACGCTTGTTCCAATCTACCTTTCCTCCACACCGATCAATGGTATGTGAAGCGCTTGACTAGCCGTCTTTAGACTAATTGGGACCAGGATGTCACCCTGAGTTTGGGAGAGGAAGAGGAACATGATGATTTATTGAAGGAAGGCACGTTATGCCATACTCAACTTTGAGATGGAAGTCATGGGACTACACGTTAGGCATAGATCAAATGGAACTATTGGAAGGCAGGACCAATAGTATTTTCGACATATGGCAGCATCTACTATAAAGAACAAGCCCTTCAAGTCAAATACAGCGAAATAAAATCTCGTCAGATTATCAGAGGGCGGAGTGGATATCGGTGTAATTCGAAATTTTCAGATATCCAATTCGAATTCAATCCCTATGAGAACCGACTATGCTTTAGAGATTGCCATTAGTAATTTAGCAGCTAGTGGGGAATCTATTGACACCAAACGAATCATAATGCAAATTGAATTAGCTACCATCTAGAGTTGCCATTTCCAACTAGCCTTTTTTGTGATTCGGTTCAGACATCTTACAGTTGTACCATAGAAGGCACCGGGCGTAATGCGATCGTATCTGCTTATATGAGGTTCAGGCGGAACCAACCTAAACTGTATGGAATTGATTGATTGGGTAACTAGGACAGTGAACCTGTTGTCCTGGCTTACAAAGTGGGATTCAGATTGGAATGGCCAAATCCACGAGTGTTAAACATAACAAGCAAAGTACGTACGAAAGTGGAAAAATAACGAACCAATCAGTCCTGGGCATAATTACCGGGTCCATTTTTCGATAGAAGGCGAAATTGGGCGTTTCTGTAGTTTCCACGGAAAATCGTCTCCAGTCTGTTGTTTTTGATATTCAGGGCAAGGCAAAGGGTTTTGCAATCTGAAGGAGGGAAATTTATTTTCAATTTGGGCTTATGGGTTCGTTCGGCGTAGGTTTAGAACTAGTAGCTCCAAAACTTTGAGCGTTCAACGAGGAGACTTGTATGAGATCGGCGAAGTATGTGCGGAATTTGATTTGCAGCGATGCACATGTATATTAATTGTTATTGCAGGCTTGAAAAGAGGGAAAAGGCCCGTGCTAGAGCCTGCGGCAGAACGTGAACCGCGGTGCAGATACGGTTGGTGACGAAGGCTACCCAAGAATGAACGGTACTTATCATCCATTTTAGTCCTTAGAAGCTCCTGCACTTTTCGAGCTCAATTTTTTTTTTTCTTTTTTTTTTTTTTTTTTTTTCTTTTTTTTTTTTTTTTTTTTTTTGAAACGATAAGTTGCCAGTGCGGGCAGTCAGACCGCGATGCCACCTCAAAGCAACACGCGATTATACTCTGGCTCAAATTCGTACCCACCTCTCTTGAAAGTGAAAATCCAAATCAAAAGCAACAAGAGGTTGGCGACTAATCTTTTTCATATCCACATCAGAGAAACAAACAGTTTACAAGGGTTCTCCTGCTTGTTAATACAAGTTCAAAATCCTTCAACTTGAGAAACACAATTCGACGACCATGCTGCAGCTTTGTGTCAAAGACAGAGCTAAATTAGAAGAGAGTGTTCAGCGCATGCATGAGTAAGCTGAGGATGTGGAACAACGCATCAACGTGCTTGTCGGGAGTTTCACAGAGATCGTTCCTTCTAACCTTAAACTTCATAAGACAGAAATGACGGCTATCATGGGACTAGTCGAGAAGCAGTAATGTTGCAGGTTCCCCTGAAACACAAGGGCTACAGGCAGAGACATCTGCCAGGAGGACAAATAAACCCGACCCGCAAGAGGAGTCATGAAAACAGATGATCACAAGAGGTGATCAAAAAAGTATAATAAGTGAAGAGAGGACGTGAGTAAACACAAGTTACGCGAAAAAGTTGAGCAATGAAAAAGGCCTTTGGTGAGGGGTTAGGGTAAATGAAATGCGCACACACCCACATACTGTAAGTAAGAGGTGGCGCTTCTCATCAAATTCCATAACAAACAACATCCTGCTAGACAGATATTCCGCCCTTCATGCTCCCGTCTTGATACCTTCGTTGGAATGGACAGGTATTTTTTGAACCGTGGTTTGGCTTGTAACACGAGAAACAATTAGACTGGATAATTTTGTTCTAATCTAGGACTAGTCGAATTCATACTGCGGAAATAATATACGTAAACGACACTGGTGAATGAGGCAGGCAAAACTTGATGGTCCAAAAAGGATCTTCCTTTGTTGTTTAAAACGTTGCTCAAAACGTTGCTGAAAACGTTGCTGAAAACGTTGCTCAAAACGTTGCTCAAAACGTTGCTCAAAACGTTGCTCAAAACGTGGCTCAAAATGTGCTCAAAACGTGGCTCAAAACATGGCCTAAAACATGGCTCAAAATGTGCTCAAAACGTGCTCAAAACGTTGCTGAAAACGTTGCTGAAAACGTTGCTGAAAACGTTGCTCAAAACGTTGCTCAAAACGTGGCTCAAAACGTGGCTCAAAACGTGGCTCAAAATGTGGCTCAAAATGTGGCTCAAAATGTGCTGAAAACGTTGCTCAAAATGTGCTCACCCTACTTTTGAAATCCCGTTGGTGAGTTGAAGTCGTAGCTTAGCATAATGAATGACTGACAATTCATCGGCCTATTTTTTGGGTCCCTGGGCCGTGCAATCTACTTTCAGCGTCACATCACCTTGATTCAGGCGAGGCAAAAAGCTTCCGATCTTAGGGCGAAGATTTCCTCTCCAAGGTCGCGGAATTAGAAATTTGCGAGTCTAAAAATACAAATAAGTCCGAATGGTTTTAAGCGGAAATCAAATGTCGGATATTTTTGCTCCGTCTAAATCTGCAATTGGAGTCCGACCAGATAGCTTTTCTTGGAACGATCTGGACCAGAACCCCGAATTCCATTCCATTGTGACCCGACCCACGCGGATAACAAAATACCGGTTCCGCTATTAAACGAAGTTAATAGTTTTGAACAAACAACATTTTTAAACCAACACAATTAAAACCCCAGTTTGCCGTCTCAATATTTGCCTGTAACTTTGGCTCTCTGATATTCTCTCGCTCCTTGCTCTGGAAATTTCTCTTTCACTCCCATTCTGCATTTTCGTCCGCTATGCCAAGGGTCCCCGCAGTGTCCGCCCCGAAGCGGGTTGTTCGAACGTCGCCGGCGTCCGGCCAGACCACCACGCGAGCACTTAGACCTTTGCGCACTGGAGTCGACCACGTGCCCCATTATGTGTCTAAGGGTATTAAGATGCGACCGACAGTAAGCGTTGCATAATGACAGGCAGATGTGAGGGAGAAATAACTAATTCTGTTGCTTGTACGTAGGCTCCAGCCACGATACCTCTCAAAATGACATCAAGGAACGAGACGAACGCAGATTTTGAGATCGTCCATGAGAACTGCACCAAGATGATCAAGTCGGCCGAAGAACGGCGTCAGCGACTTACGGCGCGCCTCACTGAGCAGCAGCGGGAAGCTTCCGAGGCTGAGCAGCGGTTTAGCACCGAACGGGCGCAGCTGAATGCTAAGGTTCGGCAAATCACCTTAGAAAAACAGAAAGCTATCGACGAAGTCCGAAAACTGAGAGAACAAAACGTGGTCTTGCAACAACGCCTGGATGCCGTCAGTTCGGATTGCCAGAATCATGTCACGCGGGACGAACTCCACATGACCTTGAAGGAACTGCATAGCGTCTCGTCGTCGGTAACAGACAAGATTGCTTCAAAGATAAACGAGTCCCAAGAATCTCAATACGCGTACTTCGGCACCTGCTTACCCGGGACCGATGTGGCTCAAGACTCGTGGACCGCGCAGACTGGCCAATTTACCATGGCGGAGAATCCCATTTTACCGGAGGGCACGGGGCGACTGTTTGATGCATCGAACCCTCAAAACCTCCCTGACTTTGACACATACGGAACGATCCCTGGCAGTATGGGTTGACATTGGGCGTCAAGCAGTCTGTTATTATCCCTAGTATCAGTATTCTCAAGCCGCAATGAATTTGAAATACTTGTGAGTATTTAGTACTATGATTCGTATTTCTTATCCTAAAGCAAACGCAGTACACTGTGGGATCAGATTGAGGCTAAGGTGTCGGTTGAAGCCGACACCTGTCGCCAAGAAAATGGGGATGTTAGGTTGGCTCTCGTGGGAAACGCTCAAATTTTGTATCACCTGCAGTTGTTCCTATAAGTGAGACGATCGGAGTGTAAAACATACGAGTGCCAATCAGTGAGATTGACCATAACCATCGCATTCCTGGTTTACCTAATGTGCCTGGATATGCTGTTCTAACGGACCCGCCATGCACCTCGCACTAGCATGCTCGTCGTGTCCCATCTTGAGGTCTCCAGTACCAAGGTCACATTAAGGGCAGAGGGAACATTCCGGTGCGGCCGATACGTTGGCCACGGTAGCGGGCTTAATAAGAACTTTGGCCCAGTGCTACAGCAATCCCAGCTAGAGAGGGACCTGACAGCGGGCTTTAGCGGTCGTCTGGAGGGATTAACCTAGAACCATGGATTTTATAATACATTAGTCGTAAGGTAGGCCAGTAGAGAGCAGTGAACCATTATTTGTATCGCCGGCTAAAGTTGAGCTAGGGTCGAATTTAGTGAATCTTTGATGGTGGGTTTGGTGGGGTAGTTATAAAGTCCCCGGGGAACTCCGGCGCCAATCTGTATGCAAGGCGATCGAGAAACCAACCGGAAATGACAGGCATCCCGAGATTAGATCCACACATAAATCTTGACTGGTTGAGAGACGGGCAACTCTTGACGTTAGTGAAGGGCGGGTTAAAGTTCGACCACTTGCAGATCTTTCCAAATGCACCTCCTCAGCAGGACTCCCCTAGGCGCTCCACCAGCTCGTTCCTCCTGCATATTAGCCGCATCTCTAACCAGACATCGTATTCGAAACTACCACGCCAAAATAACCCTCAGGCTCCATATACAAAGGTAGCTAGCAGGCCTTGGCAGTTACTAAATTACAGAGAACACGAAGTTGGCGTATATGTATGTTATGTATATGTGCATCACGTATCAGAGTTTGATGAGAGTGCTAAGCGTAGTGCTATGACAGACCTCGGACCAGTCTACGCCGTCTCCGGGTCTGGAAACATTTGTTCGACAACCGAGGGGCTTTCGTGATTGAGCCATGGAAAGTGGCCTGGTGGGAGAGGTAACGTCCGCGAGAATTGCCTCATTTGGGGCTGTGGCATTTCCTTGCGGAGAAAAGACGGATTACACTATTGCAGATTTGGTAGGAGGGGCAAAATTACTAGTCGTATATTTAAAGTTGCGACCCGATCTTGCCAACGAGCTATGGTCCGAGCGCAATGATCGCCCTCGGCGAAGCCAAAAACTAAGGAACGAGCCAATCTACCTATAAGGTTTTCAAAGAGTAATTAATCTAAGGACGAAAGACGAGACCTGCCGGAAATCCGGCATAATCAGATTGCTCAACTCCCAAGTCATAGGAAGGGCGGATCTAGAGACCGGATGGAAGAAGGCGTTCTCCATAAAGCAGTGAATAAGACGAAGCTCCTTATAGAACATACCGGGCGAATGATCCTAAATGTCGGTATGGTTCCTAGAGAAATCTGCGCCAAGCTAAGCACCCCATCCGTGATGATTTTCTATAATATAGGGTTAATCCTCATAATTCGACACCTATCCGTTTTAGGACGACAGCAGTGATAACCTAACCTGGACACTCAATGGCACCCCTGGTTTACTGGCACCTCTATTGCAAGCTCTAAGCCTCTCCTATCGTCGTCAGAGGGAAGGACTCAATGTTCCCCGTTATAAAAGCCCTCGTAGGTGTGTAGTGAACTGGTTGTTCCCATGGTTAGCCAAGCCGTTTAATGCTTTGGGACAAAGCGGTACAGTTGTAATTGAGCCATTTTGTAAAATATACGCCGCTATGAATCACTTGTCAATCAGGTCTCTATAGCTCTCTGCGACAAGAGATGATCCTACCTGCTTGGATATAGAGATAGAGCATCCTAAAATAATATATAGATACAGTTCCAATCATACTAGCCTAAGAAGAGCTTAGGTGGCTGGTAGAGTATCTTTAGGAACCTGCTGCGCACCAATATCATTCAATTATCATCTTTGACTATGAGCCCATGCAATCATACCTCCATCAAATCCATCATCAAAGATGGCACCCCTTCACTGCGTGGATCTCTTCGGGCGTCCTGGCCTCCGCTCCACTGCGCAGCCTCTGGCCATAGATAAGGCGGCAACCTGTTCATGCAACGTGTTTATGGTCATCTTGAGGGTTTGAACCTCGTCGTACTCATGTACCATAGTCTCTATGCTTTGCTGCATACTGCCATTCCAAGCATTTTGTTTCAGGAACTGTTTTTCCAAACCCCTAAAAGAATATCAGCATGCAGATATAAAACGGCCGGAGGCCTTGTTCTTAGTGAGATCAAATCACCTAACTCGACTATCCAGGCTAGAGTAACTGTTAGTATTCATCACTTATATCGTGGAGTGGACGAATCAACGCACTCGGTAAAAACCTTGCTTATAAGTCTGGGGTCTGTCGAACTCTCCTCGAGGCTCGTCCCATTCCCGCCATGAATGACACTTAGCGTGTCCATTCTTAAGTCTTGCTCTTCTACTTGTTCCTGGATATCTCCGTCCATTGTATCCTGGTGTTCCTCGGCGAATGACTCTTCCTCTGCGTATTCAAAAGCACAGTCGTCGTCCGGGGATGCCGTGGCCGACTCAGGCCTATCATAGCTAACGGAAGGCCTACTAGGCTTTGGAGGGAACATTTGTAGCCACTCAGTGTAGAGACCAATAGAGGTTTCATCGTGCTCGGTGGTATGTGTGATAACCATAATGGGATCTTCTTGATAAGTGGACGAGGTTCGGCGCGCTGTGGTGGGTAAGATGGGAATAATGCGGATGGGCTGGGCGAATATATATATAGAAAAGATATAAGCTCGGGCGAGCCAGCATAATACAGCGTGGTACCGTTTGTTTAGCGTTTCTGTGTATCCTCTGCACTTCTCGGATATACCGCAGGAAAATATTTAACAAAAGTACTATTGTGGATTATCTAGCTGCGGGGCTTACACTAGGGGTATCTAGAACGTGCAACCGACTTCGGAGGTGCGCTGCTTTACATACACTCTTCGACTAGTGCAATCGAGCTCGAAAATATAGTCACAGGGGCCCTGAAATCTTCATAGAAACAAAAAATGAGATATAAATAAATCCTCCTTGCTCGGGGTCAGGGAGGAGTAACATTGGAGGCCGGTTCGACAGCTATGGTCAAATACGAGAGATTATAGATTCAACGGATCAATCGAGTATATTGTTCGCTCACTAACCACAAATTGAATATTATCTATATTGCTCTACTATTGACTGCAGATGGGTAATTGGGGAATGAACTAAGGAAGCAAGAAATGTACAAATGTTTAATTCGGGACATTGGTTTTTGCGGTACCAAATGGTCTATTGTGCAAAACAATCGGTACCAAATAATGAGGAACTCACTATTCAATTGAACCAGTGAAAAGGGGGCTATTGTGTGTTCCTGACTCGCTATTTTTGTTATAGTATTGAATTGCGTCGTAAACGTTGTCGGTATAGTGCAAAAGAATTTCAACGGGTAAATGTCTCTATTTCCCCAATCTGATTATTGTCTCAACATTTCAGCATTTACTTTATTCATCTACCTGAAAAGCCGTCTTGTTTTGGAACTTGACTTTGGATTCCCCTAAATATGTCTAACGGCAAACACACTCTTTGGACGGTGGAAGAAGAAGATAATCTTCAAGAATGGATGTCTCGACATCAGCATTTATCCTGGAAGGGGAAACGCAAGGAATACTTCAGGCAGACTGGGAAGTTGAGGTCTATTAGCTCGCTACGTAGCAAGCTCGAACAATTAGACCAGGGCATTCGCAGGCAACGCCCTTTCTATGACGAGGGGGCCCAGCCTAGGGATACACGGAATTTATTCCCCCAGCAAGGTCTTCTGCTGATGCTCCCTCTGTCTCCGCCATTGATCTTGAAAACTCCCGATCCATCAGCTCGTCTCATACTGGAGCAGTGGCGACAGACTAAGTTCTACCAAGGCTCTGTTTCGGCAAAGAATATATTTCCAGGGGATGAATTCACCCCTCCTTCCATTCCTCTTTCTGAAAATCCAAGTATTCCGAGTGAGGACTGTCGCGATACTTCTAATACAGGGGCACTCCATGCTGACAGATTTATAGGTACGAACGAAGTGGAACCTTTTTTATCAGCAGGCTTGAGTACTGTACCATCTTTTGGATTACAACACGCCTACACACGGTACATCCGTACAAAGGAAGACATGGACTGGGGACAAAACACAGCCACTAGGGGTCATATAAGTAATTCATTTGGGGTTCTATACCAAAAATTGCAGGCCGTGGGCTGATTCAAAAAAGAATGGTATGTTTAACGTCCAACTTTCTCGCAGCGGTATCTTCCAGGCTTTGAATGTATACCATAGTCTGTACTCAGCATCAGTTATATGTACTCGTTATCTCTAATGTACTTATCTCTAAAAGCAAACGCTGGCGAATATTGACCCCGAGGATGATTAGCACTGGACTGGTCATTTAGAGCCAATCAAAAGTCTTGTCAAGATATACCAGTGCCTACCCTGGGAAATGATCTCCCTACACCAATAATGAGCTTCCTATGCTGTGGGTCGCTCATCTTTCGGATTTACTTGGTGAAAGTTTGGCCCACCGGAGCTTGTTGGGTTCGCGTTCACTTCGGGAATGGTGGGGATTAGCATCAGGAGGACAATCAGAGCGAGATCAACTTTCACCCTCGACAAAGAATCTCCTACACTAGGTCGGTAGTGAGGCGGGCAATAATCAGTTAAGTGGGCTTTTCCAATCAAAGTATGCGATAAAGTTTCACGACCTTGGACTCGAACATTCAAATTAGTAGTGGTATATAAGGACAGAGTTCGTTACCCAGCATTGAACTAGATTCTCAGAGCCCCTCGGAGGTAGCTCCCCGATCTGTTCCACGGTTGGCAATCTCCTATTATCGTTGAGAACAGAAAATAGTCGGTCATCACAGTTCTGGATTTACTGGGGCTATTACCGAGGGCGATAGAATTGGAGAACTTATCACAGTTTCGACGGATAGTTGACTTTGGTCGAATATTGGAAATGCCTCTTCCGACCTTTCATTAATTGAAAGTACCATTATCAGAGGCTCTTGCACATGGATGAACTTCAATGAGTGGGTTTCAAAGGTAGGGAGGGGCAGGATCCTCGCCGGTCGGCATGGGTCGTCTGGGCCCCCCGGTTGTCTACGCAAGGCCAAGCCAAGAATAAGTGAGTGCTGGCTCCATTATCAGCAAAGTGGTCGTAAGCGTCGTACAGCCGAATTACACCTCCACGGTGCAGACAACCCGTCGAGAGACAACCATGGTTCACACCTCCCCTATCCTTCTCGCAATGTAGTACGCCGTACTGGCCTGAATGCGTGAGATCAGGTTGGTTACTCAAGAGGTGTGGTTATTTGTCTTGGCTCCGCTTGTTGGAGGTCATAGGATTTGGATGGGGCGTGAAACGTATATTCAAATCGTAGCAACAATCAAGAACTCTATCGACTTTCTCGCATGTAGGGTGCTGCGGTCGCCCGTTGTAGCGTGATGATCGTGCGGCAGATCGTCGATAGTTTTGCGGGTCATCCCAGAATTGCCGTTGCGACAGACGGTTACCGACCCTCGATTTCTAGATTGTTTCTTTCTCCGTCGCCGAATGATTACAATCATCCCACCTCCCTCCGGCTGCGGTTGTGAAAGCAATCAGGTCAGTTGTGATTAGCCAATCGCGGGAAGTCCGACGTGACATCAGACCGTATCCCATGGGTTATGGTGGAGACACGTCGTAGACGGGAGAAGTTTATGTAAATTTGATCAATCTGCAATAGGCCCGCAGTTCCGAACTTATAGGCCGACCGGATAGCACTAGGTGAATTATCCATTCTCTACCGAGTAATAAAGGTGGTGTCACTGAGGGTACTGTAAATTGCAATTCAAAGCTAGCCTCTAGGAAGCGAATGTAAGGGGCTTGTGCTTAGATTAGCTAGGTGCGATCGGAACCCCGAAAAGTTTCAATCAGAGGGATTGATGAAAGATACGTTCACAAGGTAATATCCTCCCAGCACTCTGAACAAGGGGAGCTAAAATGTAACTACCTTTTCTGGGGTGACCTTAATACAATATTCCCGGAATTTCATGCAGTAGTCGCGCCACTGGGGCTACTTCATAAACGGAAGGAAACTTTCTCTACAATAGTATAGAATAGAATATCAGTCAGTTATTTTAACCAGAGGGTATTTAATATAGTTAGGATGGAGCTTTCTAAAACATAGATACAGTGAATTTTGATGTGTGTATACAGTATGTGTATATGCGAACTATACAGTACTACAGCACATCTGAAAGACATGGCACGCCAAAGTTGAGTATGTATATTATACCATATTTGCCACGATCAACTCGCATCAATCGTTTCACTTAATTATAAAGCCCCACCTCGGATGTGGTCACGATTTACAGAGGATCTTCACGTGATAATTTTGCTTCACATTTCATCAGGAAGCCACTGCAAAACTATCATTGTTGCCTGAGCAAATTATGACCATACCCCAATCTAAGCAAAGTTCAAGACCAACTACAGCAATTATTGCCTCGAGGGACATTATAATCAATTGTTTCCCGACTAAAGGAGTCTTTGGGCACGGGAATATGTCTGTCATGGTAAATTGTATGTAGATTGAGGTCTATACACTTAACCTAAGAGGTATCGCCAGCGACTTCGAGGGGCTTATAGAAAATCCCTGCATATCTAAACAGTGAACCAGGGCGGCATATATCGGCACAATTATTCTTATTTTGTAGTATAGAAGGATCGATGATTGGATGATTGCATTTACCCTGATCCATTGGCATGTAACGTGGTAAGAGCCATAAGTGAATCGAGTGACCCTGTGTATTCGACGAAGGAATGCATCTAAAGGTGGAAGAAGAAGCGAATCTATCTAGTGTGGCGGTGTTTGATATACTGTATATCCCACTGATCACGAATATCACCAATAATGATCTCGGTTCGGTATTTTGTTCCCATCGACAGATTGCAACCTTCAGGGTGCAAATTTCGCGTTTTGCATACTGGAAGCCAGGATACTCACCACAAAATGTTGTATTTTAGGCTATGTGCAGTATAAATATTAGCGGAAGTCTATTAACGTGCTACTACCGGCAGTCTACGGAGAAGGTAGTTACTGTGGTTACAAACAGCTACTTCAGATAAGTAGACTTATTTTTGTGTTATCTTTTCAAGGTCATTATGATGGGTACTCTGTTGGGGACAATAGATCTGAGTCTGCCAGTATTTTATACATAGTTTGCGACAGCTCCTCCAACGATTGGTTTGAATATATTCAACGTGAGCACCGAGTATTATGATGGGCACATGAAGTGGAACCGACAGCTGCCACATCTTTTGCATCTTCCGATGAGAATCGAATAATCCCAGAGACTGCTTCATGGCTATCAAAGAGGTCGTCGATCAATTTATCAACTGACCTTTGGTCCCACGAATCGTTTTCGGCCTTCATAGTTGTGTAACATTGGCGAAGAGATGCAACCTTCGCTTCGATTGCACGATGAGATGATTTGAATCCCAGTCTCAGCATGAGGGAGCGAAGGGATTTTGACTGAATACCTCGAGATGGAAAGTTAAGAGCAATCACAATCTCTTTGTCCGACCATCGGGATCTGTTTCGCATTTTCTAAAGTTTAACTTCAATAACTGCGAGTAATTCCCCC